AGAACCAATCTGTTTCTGCAGAAATATATCCAGCCTGTCCACCTTGAAGTTGAATTCTTCGAAGGCTGATTTCTCAGCCTTAATTGCCAGATCAAGAAACTCAGAGTACTGCAAAACTAAGGGATCACAATCACGTATGTTCAATCTGCTGCATTTCACCAACTTGCTCAGCACTACGTTGAACTTTTCACAGCAACCTTCTTTGTCAGTCACAATCAAGTTGGGGTCCAGACATGTCAGATTTCTTGCCAAAGTGTAGGCTATTGGTGTCTTTTCAAACAGCTTGCCAACAATAGTAGTTAAGAAGGACTGAAACTCACTCTTGAACTGGTAAATCTGAAAGTAACAATAATATCAAGCTCAGCACAGACAAAATTTCAGTTTCTGGTATTTTTGGCAATACTGTCTGCAATGGGTTAGGACAAGGTTAGTAGGTCAATGAGTCTCTGAAGGAAGCATTATTTCATTCCATTTTTAAAAGCTCATAGGAAATTATTGTATTGTATTATATGAAAAAATGTATTTTGAGAAATTTGATATTAAATATCATAATTATGCACTGTGTTGGACATCAATGGCCATCTCTCTAGATTTCTTAATAGTTACCTAGCGATCGCTGACTTTTTTGTCTGCCTGTAGTTTCTTGAGCTTGTCCACAGCAACAAGTCCAATATCCACCTTCTTAATCTCAAGGAAATTTTTCACATCTGAGAGGTCTAACTTTAGAAGCTTTACTGCTGAGGTAGCCTTCTGAAGCACACCAGCCTTAACATATCTCTTCATCAGTCCTACAATCATCTCTTGTAGAGTGCTAGCCATGAAAGGTAGAAGTGGGTTGTCACTTTGAAAAATTGCCAGGAAGGGTTGAAGCTGCTTTGCCACTGACTCAAAAGCTGCCATCTTTACTGGCATGAGTGCATCCTCGACAGCATCTCGTATAATCTTGAATGATTTTGATGTTGGGTTACTGCATTTCTTGTCAGTTTGCAATTTTTGAACATTCAGAATGGCTTTGTCCCAAATTTCCTGAGCTCATATTACAATGGGTACGTTCTCCAGTCATCTGTGCCTACAAAACTTCAGAGGAAATCTGCTGCTTCTTGTTATTTCAGTTGAATCTTCTTTCCTTGCTGGTGAGTCTACAAATAACCAATACAAAGATGAGAAGACCTCTTCTACATTCCACTCAGATGCCTGTTCACCAGTCGTGAATGCAATATGAACACCATGTAGCCCACAAGAACCAACAGTGATTAAAGTTGATGCATCCTCACCAGCCTCAAAAAATATGTGCTTGCAATAAACCGTGAAACATGCAGTTAACATAGAGCCCATGCATAGATGTCTGTAATATCTTGGATTTGTCAATTTTTTTACTGACGAGATATTCTGTAATCTTTACCTGTAAGTCATTAGCAGTTGCATGCCCCATGAACAAGAGTTAAACTAATGTGCGAGCCTGTATTCGGTCCAAACAAATACAACAAATATCGATGACATCCTCAGGGAGATCGCACGCATTTACAAGTTCTAACCTATTACCGAGTCTAACGAGTTTCCGAAGGTGGCATCTTCGCAATTTTTGGTGATGCAATTTTGGGAAGTCCAAACTAAACTGTTAGAATTAATAAGTACTAAAAAGCGTTTGACAAAACCGTTAATTGCTGTGTTGCGGAGAATAAATAAAGTTGTGACTGTTTCTCATTGTCATTTCAACGGTCACACATGTAAATAACCTTAGCACTTCGCTTCTCAATGAAAACTCGCCGTAACATGGCCAAAAGATCACTCATTGACTTAAGAATGTTTTCTTGCGGGAGCAAAACAAGTAATCCAAAGTGGGTAAGATAGCCCCATACTGCCAGCCAGGTAGTCAATCAGAAAACACGATTTTAGGTTTCGCTACCTCTTACCTGCTCAAGGAGTGAGCAGTGCGTTATAACAAAAACCGTGAACTGTCCATCCTTTAGAGCGACAGTAAAGAACTGGATTAGCACAGAAAGAAAAGCCATCTCCACCCAAAGAACCAGCCTAACTTGAACTTTATTTACTTAAGTGTAACATGTAGCTGCATACAGTTAACCTAACCTGAACGTTGTATTATAATATGAAACTTCAAATACAACTGAAACTGTGAACTCAATTGTTTAAACTGTGTTAAACCTAGACGTGAAGGAATAATTGGACACACCTCTCGCTGTGCACAAATCCCTGAATTCACTGTCATTCAACCTTGGTCTGTAATAACTAAACAAAACACACAATAGAGTCAAAAATGATTGCTCGCAAACTACTCAGGAAAGATGATTTTATATCTTATTTTGAATCCTCAATTTGGGCGAGTGAATGTTGTGAAACAGACGCTTCGCAAGTCAGGTTTTTTATGCTTTGTAGCACATGTGAGCCGGTCCTTAGTCGAGGCTTTTATCAAAAACGTCTAGGCAGCTGGCGGAAACTAATAAATACGTATTTTAACGAAAATGGTCCCCTTTTTATCGTG